AGCTCAGTGGTGAAGTCACTTCCAGGGTTCACCATTCAGTCTGGGATTGGACAGCCCCATAAAACAAAACGGAACTAATGAGGCACAGCAGTCCAGCGACAAGGACTAGAAGGCATGAGGGGACAGGAAAGCTGGTGATAGGGAACCCAAGGTTGAGTAAGGACAATGTTGACGTGTAGTGGGGTTGTTAACCATTATCATAGGGCAACATGTGTACTAACTGTTTAATGAGAAACTATTTTGTTCTGTAAACCTTCATCTAAAGTGAGAATAGCAACACAACTGCAAGAGTGTAGTCAATGTCACTGAACTGTGCATGTAGAAATTTTTGAAATGGTGTATCTTTGGCTATGTATATTTTCACCAAAGAAAAAAAAAAGGTGGAGAAGGAAAAGTGTTGACATGTGGTGGGGTTGTTGACCAATGTCATAAAACAATATGTGTACTGACTGTTTAAGGAGAAACTATTTGTTCTGTAAACCTTCACCTGAAGTACAATAAAAAAAAAGAAGGATTAGGTTTAGGAGGCACCCTACTCTGGTATGACCTCATTAACATAACAAAAGACAACCTCTACTTCCAAGCAGGGTATTATTCACAGGGATAGGAGTTAGGACTTCAATATACCTCTTTAGGGGGACACAATTTAATCTATAACTCATTGCTGTTGAATCATTTCCGACTCATAGCAACCCTATAGGACAGAGTAGAACTGCCCCATTGGGTTTCCAAGGATTGGCTGGTGGATTCGAACTGCCAGCCATTTGATTAACAGCCATAGCTCTTTATCTTTGCACTGCCAGGGCTCCAATTTAATCTATAACATACATCAAAGTAAGACAGCAAGGAATAATTGGAGGAGGTAGACACCCATAACAAAACCAAACCCATTGCCATTGAGTCAATTCCGACTCATAGCAACCCTATAGGTCAGAGTAGAACTGCCCCAGAGGGTTTCCAAGGAGCAACTGGTGAATTTGAACTACTGACCTTTTTGGTTAGCAGCCTGAGTTCTTAACCGCTTCGCTACCAGCCCTGGAGGCTGGAATCTAGTCGCACTGTACCACTAACTTTCTCTCTGACTTGGGGCAAATCATTTGCTATTAATGTCCTATTTTGCCATCTTTAAAATGAGACAGATAAACCAGATAATCACCAAATTACCTTCCTGTTCTGATATTCTATGAAACCTTAGTTCAAATATAGTAATAATTAATATTCATTAGGTACTTGCCTTGTGCTAGATACTATATTAAGCAACATTTACATTCATTAACACATTTAATTCGCAAGTAACCTTGTCAGCTAGGTAGTTAGGGAAATTAAGGAATTGCCCAGGGCCACAAAATAGTGGAACAGGGATTCTAACCCAGACAGTCTGACTCCAGAGCAAACACACAACCTCCACACTGTATTACCTCTAAATATACAAGAGAGGCTTGGTATTAACTATTGAGAGACATCCTACAGTGAAAACTTTGGGAAAGTAAATAGTCATCTCCTAACTTACCAGCTTTTAAAGTTCTTAGTGCCATGTTCTATAGCTTGAGTGTTTACATTTGTTGAGTTTTTTAAAAACCAAGTTATACTTGTATTTGTAGAATGACTGGAAGTTCTTAATTACTGAGATTTAAAATGAAGGAAGATAGCAAAAGATGGAAATTAATCATTCGTGCCTTCCCTCATCTTAACACACTGGTGGTTTACTAAAGTACCGTTAAATAGATTGCTCAAAATTGATCCTATGGACAATGTATTAGAAAAAGAGTTTTTTTTAAATATCACTAATATTTACCTCTCTATCTTTTCACAGTGACTGTGTTGAGCCCAGCAGAAAAAGGTAAGAAGATGTTGTAAACTGTATTGGTCAGGACTATATTCTTCTATCTAAAAGTGAATTATATAAAAGCCTATAAATTGAGCAACTTTTCCAGGAATACACTTAGATGACTGGAAAGTTTAGGATGATGGTTTTCAGGAAGTGTACCCAGAGGTGGTAGAACAGAACATATTTTCACTGGCTCCTTTGACTGTAGGACAGAGATTGCAAACTACTAGGATTTATGATAGAGAAGGGCAAAGGTAACCACCCTGTCTGCCGTAGCGATCTTAGCCTCTTTCTCGGTCCTTATCTGTTGTTCTAGGTACCTTGCCTTTCTGTCCTTTCCGTCTCCTTTTCAAGGCATAGAGCAAGGGACCCACAGGTGAATTTTAAGAACTAAGTCCTTTACCAGCGCTATTCCAGAATACTTACCTTACTCCTCTCCACCCCTCATCCCCATCTTGGCTTGACCTTCAATCTATACTAACTTTCTTAAAAATTTGAGGTTTTTTTTTTAAAGGATAAGCTACGCATGAATCTTAACAGACCTTTAGCTTTATATTATTATATCAGTAGTAGTTGTAAGTATTTATGTACCCACTTTTAATTCTCACTTTATGAGAATTAACTGTTGTAATTTGTTGACCAACCTAGCCCTCATATTATAATGTTTTAAAACTCCAGTTTGCTATTACTCATTTAACACAGGTGTTGACTATAGAGGCAAAACAGCAGAGTGGGTGGGAAACAGTAGACTACACTAGTTAAAAGTGTCAGTTCTGGAGCTAGACCGTCTGAATTCAAATCTTAGTTCTCCTACTTCCTAGTAAATTATTTGACTTCCTTCTGCTTGGTTTATTCATGTGTAGAATAGGAAATAATAATACTATTTCATAGAGTTGTAAAAATTTAACTAGTTAATACATGTATCAACTTAGAAGACTTAGAACTTAATAAAGTACTTGTAACAGTAATTAATAAAGCATATACTGATGACTCAATAAATGTTGGTTAAATTATTAGTCTTAGAGCAAGTCTTGAGTTACCTCTTATTCTTGTATGTGGTTCTTAAGGCCAAGGATCATCTTCTGTACACATATATGAAATAATTATAAACAAATTTCCCACAATAAACTTTCATGATAGGTTTGGTGGGGGCTTAGATGATGCTGTACCATAATAATAATGATGATAATATTGTTATTATTATTGAAAACTACAATTTATTATGCTGAGTACCCTGCTAAGTATTTACATACATTGTTCTTCATTATTTACATCAATATAGTGATATAGATACTCTTATGTCCATTTTTTAGAAAAAGAAACTGAAGTTTAGAAAGGTTAAATAATTTTTGCCAGGTCCTGTATGGGGCAGTTCTACTCTGTCCCATAGGGTCACTATGAGTCAGAATCAACTTTACAGTAACAGATTTGGTTTTGATTTATAGCTAGTAAGTGGTAGGATTTAAACCAAGAATTGTCTGACTCCAAAGTACATGCTCTTAAGCAAACCTGCACTTGTCCTTTTATTTTTCAATTTGCAACTCCAAGATTTGTTTAGTTGAACTGCCTACTCAGTAACTTGATGTTCAGATGCTGTTTTTTCCAGTGTCCTAAGTACCCTATCTTTATTATTTTTTGTATTATCAGCAAATGGAACTACACCAATGTGAGATGTCATTATTAAGCCTAACCCAGCTGAAAGCCTTCCTAGTAGCATACATCCAATTTCCAGAATTTGAGCTCTCTAGAAGATTATGTTACAACAATATATGATTTTTAAGGTCCCTTCTCACTCTAGGATTCTATGGTTCCAGAGTACTTTTTTTCCTGATAGTTCTTAAATTTATCAGCACAGTAAAGAATAAGCTTATATTTTGCTTCTTTATTCTGTAGTGGGGCATAATGGTGCAAGCACAGGATTAGAGATAGATTATCTGGCTTGGAGTTCCAGCTCTATCAATTACTACCTCTATGACCTTTGGAAAGTAGCTCAACTTCTCTGAACCTCAATTGCTGTAAAATGAAGCTAATTTAATAATATCTTAGAGATTTATTGTAAACTAGTGTACTCCCTGAGTGATGCAGACAGTTAACATGTGCTTGCTGCTAACTGTAAGGTTGGAGGTTCAAGTCACCCAGAGGCATTTTGGAAGAAAGGCCTGGTTTCTGAAAAAAAAAAAAAAAATCAGCCATAGAAAACCCCATGGAGCACAGTTATACTCAGACATACATGGAGTTGCCATGAGTTGGAATTGACTCAAGAGAAACTGGTTTAATGAGAGTGAAAATACAGAGCAATAAACTGCTTTGTAAATGTTAACTATTAATAATCTCAGTTGTTAAACTTTTTTATATATCTGGATTCTCAAAGACAGTGGGATTTAGAAACTAAAGTCGGTTTCAGTTGTAATCAGAAGTTGAAGGTTAGACTTATAAAGAACTTCTGACCACTAGAGCAAGTTACTAAGGGATGCTGTGGAATCTCCGTTGCAGAAAGTATCAGACACCCAACTATGTGGCTTAAATCAGTGAGTCTTACCTAGAAGCAAACTAATAGGCCTAATGACCATCAGAGGTTCCTTCTAATTCTGTGAATCTGTGACTTGTTTTAAACTATTTTGCACTATTAAAGCAAATAACACAGTATATAACTGCCAGTGGGAGCATTGTTTGGCATAGGCATAGAAAATACAAAGGCTAATAAGTGAAAGCCTCAAATCATATAACTTTTCATTCAGTCTCCAAAGCATAAGAAAACCATAGTAAAACTATGGTTTTTCAATTTACAAAAGTTTTTCAATTTCTTGTCTAATACATACAAACAGAAACCTGGGGAATATGTATGGGAATGGCTATTAAGCTTGTGAGATAATGGTGCAAAGAACATAAAGTTGGATCAGTCTGAGTTTATTGATATGGGCCCACTAAGCACAGAGTCTTCATTCAGCGTTTCAGTTCGAGAGGTTAGAAAAGGATCTAGTGGTTTATTTGGTTAGTTCGTATAGATTAAGCGGTGGCCTATGCTACATCAAGTTGAAATGCCATACCTGCCTTGGTATATTGCAGAAGAAGATATCCAAAGGCTTAGAGAAATTGGCATATTAGAGTGGATTTATCAGGTTGGACCCACAGACCCAACCGTTGAGTACCCAGAGGACACACCTTTTACCACAACGGTGAGGAACAAATTTGTGAAGGAAGCTCTAGTATCCTTGAAGACTGCTCTGATTGCTATTTTATACAAATCAGATTTGACAGTGCGAACTGCCCTAACTGAATTAAGACACCCAACTATAATGGGGCAGATTGGACCCTGTGGTGGTAGGGGACAAGAGGCAGCACTCAATCAACAAAGACAAGGTGGGCATGGTTACCATAATGGACAGCAGAGTTAAAGCAGTAATCAGAATAGTCTGATTACTTAGGGAGTTGGTTACTTAGTTATTGTGTCCCTAGGAATGAAATAGATGGGAAATCTACTAAATATTTACTTCATCTGTACAAGTGGAAGAATTCTTGGCCAAGTGAACAACAGTCAAACTTAAATCACCAGAATAGAGAGTCACGGCCCCTCAATCAGTTCCCAGACTTGAGCTAATTTATAGACCCATAATCCCTTGAATGAAGGGGTGGCCGGGTCCCCTTGAGCTAGGACCCTACTACACTGCAAAAAATGTATACTGTTACTCTTTCTCCCAGCATTTCCCAAAGGGATCTATGGCCTTTTATGAGAGTGATTGTTCAATGGGGAAAAGGAAATAATCAGACTTTTTGGGGATTACTGGATACTGGCTCTGAACTGACACTAATTCTTAGAGACCAAAAACATCACTGTGGCCCACCTGTCAAAGTAGGGGTGTGTGGAGGTCAGGTAATTAATGAAGTCTTAGCCCAGGTCCTTCTTGCAGTGGTTCCAGTGGGTTCCCAAACCCATCCTGAAGTGATTTCCCCAGTTACAGAATGCATGATTGGAATAGACACACTCAGTAACTGGCAGAACCCCCAAGTTGGATCCCTGACATGTGGAATAAGGGCTATTATGGTAGGAAAAGGTAAATGGAAGCCATTAGAAGTTCCCCTACCTAGGAAAATAGTAAACCAAAAACAGTACTGCATTCCTGGAAGGACTGCAGAGATTATTGCCACCATCAAGATGCAGGGGTGGTGATTCCCACCACATCCCCATTCAACTCACTTATTTGGCCTGAGCAAAAAGCAGATGGATCTTTGACAATGACAGTGGATTATTAAAAACTCGACCAGGTGGTGCAGCTGCTGTTTGGATGTAGTTTCATTCCTTGAGCACATTAATATATCTCCTGGTACCTGGTATGCAGCTATTGATCTGACCAGTGCCTTTTCCTCCATACCTGTTTCAAAGAAGCACCAGAAGCAGTTCACCTTCAACTAGCAAGACCAGCAATACCTACCTCAAGGGGTATATCAATTCTCCAGCCCTATGTCATAATTTAGTCCCCAGGGAACTTGATCGCCTTTCCCTTCCACAAGACTTCACACTGGTCCGTTACATTGATAACATTATGCTGATTGGACCTAGAAAGGAAGAAGTATCAATGACTCTAGACTCACTGGTAAGACATTTTCATGCTAGAGGGTGGAAAATTAACCCAAAAAAATTCAGGGCCTTCCACCTCAGTGAAATTTCTAGGCATCAAGTGGTGTGGGGCATGTTGAGATATTCCTACTAAAGTGAAGGATAAGTTGTTGCATCTTGCCCCTCCTACAACTAAAAAGGAGGCACAACACCTGTTGTGCCTCTTTGGAATTTGGAGGCAACTTATCCCTCATTTCCCCCATGTGTTTGTCAGTTTCTCGTACTGTGGCAGCTTATGTGTTGCTGTGACGCTGGAAGCCATGCCACCGGTATTCAGATACCAGCAGGGTCACCCATGGTGGACAGATTCCAGCTGAGCTACCAGACTAAGACAAACTATGAAGAAGTACCTGACAATCTACTTCTGAAAAAAATTAGTGAGTGAAAACCTTATGAA